CTCGGGTCCGGGTCAGCAGGAATGTTCGGCCCTGGCAGGGCGCGGGCAGAACGGGCGAAGGGACAGGGGAAATGCGGGAAAGACGGGACTCTAGAATGGGGCGGCCGGGCGGATCCCCACACCTCCCCTCCCTCAAGGCTCGCACTCCGGGGTGTTTGAGGTTACGTGGTCCCCAGGACCTCCGGCAGGGAGCTCGCTCAGCTGAATGTCGCCGATGACGACGAGCACCCTCGATGATGATGATGATGCTGGCATCAAACCAAGCAGGTCAGCGGTGAACGTCCATTCACTGGGAAGCTCGTGACCGATGGAGCACGGTCCACGAACTGGTCCGGAGCACCACAGCTCACAACACGGACGGGCAGTCAGGCGCAAACAACACGCCGCCTCCTAAAGTTTGCTTCCGTCCCTAATATCCCACAGCGAATCGCGCGAAAACGAATACCGGCACTCTATATCAGACAGCTCGACGAAACCAAAATGTTTCCATCGTTGGACATACCACGAAATAAAAACAAAACTCTTCATTTCAATACTTCAATACTAACGGGCAGGCAATCATCCAGAACGTCGCGCTGCACGTTCAAGAGGTACAAAAGAGAAAAACTATTCCTGAACTAAAAAGTATGAGCACTCACTGTATACTCAAATCGTGCATACGCCCACTATACAACGTTTGCTCCTGTAAAACTCAACCGCATTCTTTTAAAACGGAAAACGATCTACCAGAGTGTCAGAACCGAACACCTCTGACAACAATATTGATATCCAACACTCTCGCGAAGAACGCACAAAACCTCAAGAACTTACAATAACCTTCCGTAAAACAGAAACGGCCACAAATCCAGTCCCGTTCGCGAGGTGCGACTCGAAAAAACACGCTGTCAACAGTAGCAATTACCCAAGACAGACACTTATGCACTCGGCGTTCGCGACGCCCGAGCTACAAGCACGCTACAGCCAAGCTACACAGCACGCCTTCATGAGAAGGGATAATCACCTTACTGAGAGGCGGTTGTTCCATGGTACCGGCCACTTACACCAGTACAAAGGGAACAGTACCTGGATCGTGCGAACAGCAGATCTCATTGGACAGCCTATTTACATGGCTATGTCCGCAACGTCTGGGCATGCACCAGATGTTACCGCTTCACTGCTCGGAGGCGACCACCCAACAGGAGCGACGAGCGCGTAACGGCGGTCCGCACCGAACCCCGCACGGGCTCGACGACCGCGGCAAGCGCATCGACGCACGTTAGAGTTGTCCCCCGGCCAAACCCCGACACCGCATAACTAAAAAGTCGTCCAGCTGATGTCAAGGCCGGCCGGGATTGAGCAATAAAAGTACGCCGTCAACGCGTCTTGCGACTCTTCGACGTTCTCGATCCGAGTAACGTGCCCTCATACTAACGGAGTAAGTTACGCACAAAGCTCGCCTCCAACCAAGTCAACACGCCGCAAAACTGAAAAGTCTTCCTGCGACTGTAAAGACAGGCAGGGTTCGAACAATGTAAATATCCCACACGCGCACCTCTCAACTTCCGCGCAACGAGCGCGATACCGAAATGCCAAATAATCTGACCGGCCGGTCTTGGAAAAGGACGAGCTAATAAACTATATTTGCTCTGCATAAACAGTTTCCGCGGCGTCGAAGTGTCTACCGCATTTACCGCCGCAATCCAACACCCGCTACCCATTCATGCAAAGGCTGCAGTTTTTACAGCGACGGGCCGTCCCAACGCACAACAGTTATAGGCCGCCGACGGCCATGCCGCTGCCATAATTTCTAGACTTTCCGGGCACGTACCCGCCGACGTGAACCGTACGTTTTTCAGGGTCAACCACGCATCTGTACAGGAAAAAAACTATGAACAACTCGTAACATCGTCGCAACACCACCACTCCCCTCATGCAGGCTTTCACTGCACTAGCACAGCTTTTGTCTTTTCTCCCCTAAATTTATAATTTATCTCTAATCCAGGCCTCTGCACGATTTATCACCCTCTCCTTCGTGTCCCAACGCGAACCCAAACGCGGCTGAGAACCGGTACTGTATCCGGCGGCAGCGCACAGCGCGCGCTAGCCGCCGCTCCTCCGGAGATGGAGAAAGCGAAATGAAAGAGTAACTTCCGCCGCGAGGCTCAACCATCGATATGGCGGTGTGAGGATCCGGAACCAACTGTGCGCACAATTAAACGGAATCAACCTCACGACTCTACAACCAGATACGCACGGGTCATGCCCATCGCGTCAGACTGGACTCTACGGAACATTACACACACACAGCCACTGATAAAGTGAAAACGGAACTCGGTGGTTTTCTGGATTCCAATGTCTGCGCACCAGACATCGCGTATCCGGCACGATTTAGGGGGCTTAGACCCTAAATGTAGCCTCTGGCCACAAGGTACTCGTTCAAAGCGATCTTGGCCGGAAGCAGAAGAGCGCATATCGTATACCTTAAAACGCTGTCGACTAACGAAGCTAAAAACCGCGCTGACAGCTCAAGCGAGGACAACTGGGAGCCAGCATGCGGTCAAACCGAGACGCTAGTCTCCTCCCGGAAAAAATGCCAAAGCGGGAATAATTTCCAAACACAGTCCATGCAACCGCCATCCGCAATGGGTGCGTTCCCCACCTGGAGCGATGCCTCTCTAACGCGTCCGATCGGTAACACGCGTTCCAAAACATTACATCGATACGCGAGCAAAGGCGTTTAGGCGCATCACATCTCCCAAACCGTGAGCCGGCATCTTTCCCAGCAGACGTGGACGGCCAGAGGCGTAGGTGGGGTGACGCCCGACGCTACATGCCTCGAGGGGTGCGGTAATTTCGACGCACAGAACGCTCTTGCGTAGCAGGATCAACCTGCCAGCATCGAACGGTGCGCTGAACAACAAATACTCGAAGCGCTTCTCGTAACGGGGGATAAATAAATTCCTGACTGGCTCGGACAAAGGGTTAATCCCTAAAGACAACGGTCAAGGTCCGCGCCTCCTCGCCAGGCAGTCGATCATGCCAGAACCTTCGTGCGGCGTGCCCGCAACGAAACTTCGTGCGGCGCTCCCGCGACAAAGGTGACCCCCCAAAAGAGCGCGAAACAGTGCCCCAATTCAACCGGAAACAGGTTAGGAATCGGAATGCCTGCCTGATCAAAAATCACGCCCCACGTTGCGGCGCCAGTTTATGCGGGCATCTTCTAGCTCCGATTCTCACAAACCCTGTCTCCGGATGAATATGACAGTGCAATACTTTGCTCTCGGCAAAAGGGTTTATTCACTCACTCATTGCCTGGGGGGTTTCGGGGTCGGGAGACGTTCATCAGCGAGGCCGGGGGAGAGTCCGCTGCCCCAGCAGCTTCTCCGAGTCCCAGCGGTGGTCGTCCCCACCGCGTCGTGGGGACGTCGTCGTCCAGGGTCGCCATCCGGTCCGTTTGTCGAGTCCGCCACTCGACGTAGTGCCCGCACTCCCCGCGCCAGCGTCCACCGCCGTCCGAGCTCGCCTCCGTGACTCGTTGATCCCCAAGTCGGCAGCAGGAGAGAGACCTTCCCTAAAAATTGGCTTGCTCTTTATGTTTATACAGCCTTGATGGAGATGCGCCTCAACGGGCAATCGGTCTCTTAGCTGTAGATGAGAAATTTAGCCAGTGCGGTACAACCGCTAACCTGGGGTTTTTAACGTGCATCACGCAGTAGTGATCACACGAACGCGTGCCGGTACGAAACTCATCCAGATCGAAACGGGCGGGGGCGGCGGGGATCGAACCCAGGAGGTTCCCAGCGCAAGCTTTCGCTCCACGCTCCGAGGTGAGACGCGTTATCCCACTCGGCCACTTTTTCCCCTTGAACGCGCGCAGAAAAAATTGGGTTGCTCTTAATGTTTATACAGCCTTGATGGAGATGCGCCTCAACGGGTAATCGGTCTCTTAGCTGTAGGTGAGAAATTTAGCCAGTGCGGTACAACCGCTAACCAGGGTTTTTTAACGTGCATCACGCAGTAGTCATCACACGAACGCGTGCCAGTACGAAACTCATCCACATCGAAACGGCCGGGGGCGGCGGGGATCGAACCCAACAACTTTGGGCGAGGGGTAGTATGGGAGGGGGGGGGGGGGGTAAATGAATGCGGGATAAACGTTCCCCTCACTGCCGAGTGAGAATGGGACGTGGCAGTTTCGCTTTATTAGTTCATTTTTAGTGAGCACATGACTTCAATGCTCTTGTCCGGGAGCAAAAGAATAACAAAACAAGTATAGCGATGCAGCCACAACAGTCACTCTGTCCGCACTGCGCGAACATTAAGCATTGTTTTTCATTCAGCGTGGTCGAACCCTCTCTTCTGTAGTTAACTTTATGAATGCTCATGAAAATTCATTACAGCTTCTGTATATCAAAAACTTAAAGCAGGGAATCAGAGCACCTTGCCCTCCTTAAACAATTCCTACTTGTGCTACTGATCACTCTGAATGTTCTGCGTTACGAACTTGACGTCACAAGGTCCCACACGTCGCCATGTCAGCCTTGTAACAGTGTTGCCGTCCCTCTCAGGACGACAGTTCTAATTTGGCCATAAGGCACTACGAAAATAAGATGAGTGGGTAGATGTCGACAGAATCGTTTATGAACCAAGATTTAAACGACTTCCGTCTCGATAAATTTAGAAAGGTTTGGCGATCGTAACACTTTTCTGTCTCGCTCGCATCCCACTTTTTTAGCTTACATTGTCAGCAAGTTACCCTCGTCAAAAACCCTTTGACATCTCGACAATGGTTCGAATCTTGCTTTAACTACAATAAAAACTGGAAGGTCTAAGGGGTAACTAAATTTCTCATGCTCATCTCATAGAATTGTACGTAGCTGGCCGCGCTCGAGAGAGACGTCCAGCTCTTTTTACCTTGTCAGTGACTACAGACAACTACATTCATTTAGTATTTAGGCTAGTGAGCTTGCGCACTATTTGTAGAGGTGTCTGACAGATATTTTACCAAATGTCTATTACAGTTCAAAAAGTTTGAGGTTTGCAAAATCCAATGTATGGTAACCATTGACAATTTTGTTAAAAATCAGTACGTAACGTTGAAGGATGGCCTACCTTGTGGACGATATGGTGAGGTAAGTGACAACTGAACAGCTGTGAAACATAGCGTTTATTCACCAAGCTTCTGCAAACTAGTGCTGATAAAAAAATTCTTTTGGCGGAAAGAGACTATACAACGAAATCACGAATGCTGCATACATGCCCCCTCCGCTAATCGCATAAGGTATTGTTCCGGACTTCAAGCTTGTGGCCTTTGTAGCCTCCAGCAGCCCTATTAAAAAAGCATACACGTGACACTTGTAACGCATATCCAGTAATTTCATATAAAATTATATGACCCAAATACAGACATGTACGAATTACTCAAAAAAGGTAGTTAAGTTACTGAGTATCAACGCCAAAAGTAGTTGGAGTAGAGTAGAAATTACGCATTTGTAATAGTAATTGAGTAAACTACTAACTACTGCAAAAAATTAGCGAGTTACTTTCAAGTTATTTTCGAAGTTACTTTTTATATTTTTGTGGCAGCAAAAGGAGCAACAGTTTTGATCAGTGAAGAACCCTGCGAGCCTGAAATAAATGCAGTCAATTTATGACTTCCAAAATAGTTTATTCGCTCGCAGAAGCAACTGTCTTTCAAAGTTGTTATCGGAGAGTTTTCCCCTTTTCCTTGTAATGACGTCCTCCGTCAAGCTACAAAGACGTTCCAGCGTGGCGCTGGATGCAAAGGCAGCGTTCAATTTCAGAAGCAGGCTGTGCAGGGTCGGGTAAACGAGTGTCGGCATCTCTGGTGTCCATGAGAAACATGTGAGGCTTGCCTCGTCCCCCCCCCCCCCCCCCCCCCCCCTAGAGGGCCTTTGATAACAAACTCTCCTCCTTCTTCCTTTTTTGTCTTCGGCAAGTTGAGATTGTTATGACTGGCCCCTCTTTATTCCCACCACGTCCGGAGAGTTCTCCGAGCGTGTGCGCCTGACAGTCAACTGCGCGTCTCGTTGCAATGTTAATGCTACGCCACTGAAAAAAAAAAAAAAAAATTGCTTTTTGCCGTTGAAGTTGGGTCCAACAAAAGGGTTTCCCAAGGGTGACGAGTACGTCTTCAACAAAGAGGAGGTCTCCCTGGCGTGGAAGGTCGGAAGGACGCGAAGGGTTACGTGAACAAGCGGGAAGCGGGAACGTGCTGCCATGTACGGATTATCCGTGTCTGCGTTTGTGCGCGGGGAGTCCGGCTTCGGAAGGGAGTATGCGCTGACTACGAGGCGACCATGAGAACAGGCGCCCAGCTGCGAGGTCATTCCAGTGGGGCCTACCGTGAGTCAGAACTCACTAAAGGCACACAACACGAACACAACAACAACCCTCGGAGTGTCCCCGTCTTTCACGGTTGCAGCTGCAGGCGTGGCGCCTGCGTGCATTACCGGATCAGGTCAATACCCGACCAAGGCTTGTTAAGCATCTCTGCCTGCGTTCGTGCGCGCCGGTGTTATGTTTTGGCTGCTCGTCGTCACCTTGGCCCCAGGACGCCTGTGATGCAGTTTCTACGGCTGACGAGTATAAGTGCGTGTCAACGGATTGTGAGGGGGCCCCTTGTTCGGGAATGCCACTTCATCTGCCGACGTCTTATTTACTTCTTCGCTCAAACTTTTGTTATAAAAAAAAAAAATAGGATTAGATTTCGAGAGTAGTTAGTAATTTGAGTAGAAGTTACCTGAAAAACGTAGTTAAATTAAACTACTAATTACCCAAATAAAGTTGTAATTGAAAGTTACCAAGTTACTCAGAAAAGTAGTTAAACTACAGTAGTTTGAGTAGAGTAGTTGAACTACGTCCAAGTCTGCAGGCTAAATATATAGTTTTTTAATGAAGAACGCACAGATCAATAAGCCATTCCTGAAATACGCGGCGACTTCAATCGTCTTTTTGGCGCACTATGGCAATCCTATATACGGCGCTTGAAATAGCACTTGTTATTAGTAAAAGAGGTTCATGTTTGTTTAGTATTTTGCGGTTTCAGAACACAAAGATAGCAGAGCACTAAGAAAACAGGTTGCGTATTGGCGGTGTGATCTCTTCAGTTACTTTTCTCGCAACGGCAAGAGGGAAGTTATTGAGCCACATCCAGGACCGACGGAGCGTACGACCCAGTCCGAGCGTAGATCGATGCGACCCCGAAATTCCCCGCGTCGCGGGGTGCAATCTATGATTGAAAGGAGACCTTGCAGGAGTTTCCGAAAATGTCTATTTGATGTTTGGTCACGGTTATTTACGATATTTTCATTTTCAGGGCATATTAATGGAAGCGCCGTCCTCCACCTGCGTAATCGTTTTACAGTTAGCGATATTTCAGAATAGCTTTTCGAAAAACGAATGAAGTAACACTGGCGGCCGCCATCTTTGGAAAACTACCTCCTTCGCGAAGCGTGTGAATGTATTCGAGTTCACACCGAGTGCGGTTAATGCACTCCCGTAGATTTTATTTGCCCTGAGTACGCGCCAAACGCTTCAAGTCCAATGCATGCTCAAAATGTGTGCCGAAAATATGGCGGCCTCGGAGAAATTACTGGAGGTTGCGCATTTATGAAAGGTAGTATATGAAATAAGTGTGGCGCGTAGTATTTTTAATATATTGCTTATTACTTGCAAGGTATGTGTTTAAGATATGAAGTTATGCGTTTAAGGTATTTTCCAGCTTGACTTCATATGGATCTTTAACAGGGTGTTATAATATATGGGTGATATATGTGCATATTCCTTTATCAGTACGGAGTACATTATAGTATTTTGAGTCTGTAGACACACAGTGTAGGCCCGATTTGTTTATGTACATAGATATAGGGTTTGCAGAAAATTTTATAGTGTGCGCGCTAAGCGACGTGTTCGTTTTCTTCGTTGTCTTCAATTGGCTTTTTGTGGTCAGACCGTACCGCAAACGCTATCCCCTCCTTTTACTTGTCGCTCTAATCTTGTCTAAGCGTCAAATTTGACCGGCAATCGAGTACGGAAGCGACGACGACAAGATGGTCACGGAAGAAATCGCCGGCGGTCTGGACGATCTCACACTTAAGAGTACATGGCCATGAAATTTTGCGCACACTAAACCTTCGCATCTTATGGGGCCCAGCTTTCGCGTGCGACACTACATTTCAATTTCTCCCGTCGAGAATGATTCTTCGGAACCGGAACAACGAAACCGATGGTTGTTTCTCCGACAAATTCTGACGTCCCAATGCACAACAGTCTTCAAGCGACATTTGGAACTGCTTTCGTGTTGTGAGTTACGCAAGCATTCTCTGCTTGCAAGCTACACATGTGATTGAAGAGGAAGCAGGCAAGCCGAGGTTGAAGGACCGAGGGTAGCTGAGCGAGTCAGCCGGTGCTGCGTCCACGCCGGGCAGTGCATTGGAAATTCCTCATGGAGTAAAACCATGAAGCAAACCAGGGGCCTAAATGGCCTATTGAAACGCACCTCTTTAAAACAATTGGAGACCTTAATGTACACAGCGGGACCAAGGGAATGAGACATCGCAGCAGGCAGCGATGTCCTAGTCCGGCTTGGTCCGCTTGGGGAGTAGCCAAGTAGCGCGAGAGGGTGCGAGCGCGGCAAGCTTTCGCAAAGTTCTGGTCGGTGACAGGTTAAAAAAAGTTCAGGAAAAACTCTTCCCGCTTCTTTCCACATTACCAGAGCGAACGCTAGAGCGGTGGTCGCCTCCTCTCCAGCGTCCGCTACGCTAAAATGGAAAGAGGTGGTAGGAGCTTCCTCTCAAGTGCTAACCTGTCACCGACTATAGAAGCGCTAGAAAAAAAAGAAAAAGAAAAGTGCGAAGGAAGGAAACTGATATAGACGACATTTCGGCCCACGCTCTTCGTCGTCCAAGCAACTTTGGCTTGGGCAAGCATGGGGCCATGCTAAAGCCTAGAATGAGAGAGCGCACAAGTTCATAGTAATGTGGCTTATGTAGTACACTATTTTGTGACCAACTTTGGCAGTGTGCCTGGTCACGAGATAAAAAATATAATGAACATTCCTATATTGATAACTGCAATTACTAGAACTCTACTCAAACTACACTACAGAGAACTGCCAGTAAACGCCTGACGAAGCAAGCGCGGCGGAAAGAAGTTGTTTTTATCCTTGTTGCATCGCCAATAAAGCGAAGCGGTACTGACCAATAAACGTATTTTTGCCGACAACACCGACATGCTACCAGTGACACTCTTCTTTCGCATTCACCACAGCTCAGACGTTCTTAGACGATCGCTTTGTACGACTCAATCCTAGAATCAGAATGAAGTTTATAGTACAGGTTGAGCGCAATTTTCCGCGCTTCTCTTCAAATTGCGGATACGTTTTTTTGTTGCAAAACCTCTCAGGGTGCGGGCTACGAATGTAATACAGAATGACCCCGGGAGAGACGCGCCTTGGAAAGTAAGAGCGCAGTTGCAGTTGTCAGGTGACATTTAAAATAAACAGCAAGGTCATCCTAATGATTGAAATATTACTTCCAAGAAATATGTAACTCGAGTTTAGTTGGTATGTGACAACGTTAAAATATAAAACTGAAAATTTAGAGAAATCTTTTTTTGCAATACGTCATGTCCGTGGTGGTGACATGGATGTTGAATAAACGAACGTGATTGCAATGACAGCACTGCCGACCAAAAGCCTAATTTCTTCACCATATATTGCATACATGTGTATATATATATATATATATATATATATATATATATATATATATATATATATATATATACATACAAAGTTGAAAATCCCAAGTAAGAGAAACAAAAACACGGAAGGTTTATTTCAACGTTTCGGCAAGAGTCTTGCCTTCGTAAGGAATGGCCATTCCTGACGAAGGCAAGACTCTTGCCGAAACGTTGAAATAAACCTTCCGTGTTTTTGTTTCTCTGTCTTGGGATTTTCAACTTTGTGTACTCCACGCCCTCGGCCAACCCTAAGCGACCATGCCCTATATATATATATATATATATATATATATATATATATATATATATATATATATATATATATATATATATATATATATATATATATATATATATATATCAATACAAACTCATCAAAACATAACTTATGTTTCACTGGTTTTAAACACGAACATTACGTTAACGACAAGAACTAGGCGCCTTTCACTTTTAAAGTATTTGATGCACTACCTTGCGTTATGTACGAATGCTTGGCGAGGGCCGTGTCACAGCACCTAGCCTTCCACTGCGGTTCAACAAAAAATGAAAGGGGGCATAGCCCTTTAACCTTCGCGTCCTAACCCTCTTTAATGTTAAGAGATATACTGTCAATCTATGAACCGCATTATCTGTTTTTTCTTTTTGAATAGACATGCAGAGCTGGACTATGCCGTGGTCCATGTGACGTGCAGTTCTTTAACCAAGTTTAACCAAGAAGTGACGAAGACATTCATGAAGAGGAAACAGATTTAATATGACAACTGTTCTGATAGTAGGAAACTCGCTACTGATACTGTAAGGCAAAAATAACATAAACAAGTCACAATAAAGACGCTTCTCCTCTCATAATTTTCTAGTAGTAGTAGTGTTGAAAGATCCACAATCCGAACAAAAAGTGAATTCAGACAAAGTCGGAGGTGGTGGGTAATATTTTTATTGTCTTATTCAAATTTGCGATAAAGATATTCAAAATATAAATTTGTGCCGGTCTTCACGCTCCTACAGTTTGGAAAGCTACAGTCGAGTGACACAACTTCTGAGAATTTCTTGAGTCACTCCCATCTTCCCTGTCTTTATAGAAGCGTGAGTTTTTTTTTTTTTTATCACTACCATGTACGTTAAGGGAATTTCTCCCCGGAATTCGCATCCCACGACAAAAACGTCAAGCTTTGCGATGTGCAAAAGTCTCGCGTTTTAGTTTCATGATGCGCGCGTGCCGGGGAGAAATCCCGGGGATTTCTCCCTCGTGTGAATACCCCTTTAAAGACACCAGGCTTGTAGTCGTCTGCATTCGTTAAATTTCTTATCTAAAGCAAACACACCTGTTAAGGCTGACTAACGGCCCGTCGCATAAAGTTCACTGTTGTGCCAAATACTCAACAAAAGTACTCAAGATAAGATGCTAAATACACATCTGAAAATGTATTTAAAGTAGTATTCAAGTTACTTTTACTACTAACTATCTTGAGTAGAGTACTAATAATTAAAAATTCCGGGGATACCTAAGCACTTTTTATGAGCTGTGAATGCGAAAGCATGAATGTCGTTCTTCTGCTCCCTCAGTTCGTCTGCGTCGCACTAGCGTGAACCGCCACGCTTGGCTACTGCCGAGGTAGGGGCTGACGGCCGAGCGCGCGCCTTCGCGAAGTGGCCGCGCCACGCTGACCTCGGCCGTGCAGCCTCTCTGGAGTTTGCCCGCGTGTCGACTCTGCGGCCAGGCCCGCACCTCTTACCTGCGGCCAGGCCGCTGCGTGCGCTGAGCCGCCATGGAGAGGGCTTCTCTGGTGGCGTTACATGGAACTACGCCGCCCGAGAGCCAGTGGGAGCTTCGTTATTTAAAACTACGACGCGCGCTAGCCAGTGGGAGCCTATCCATCAACTTTCTGCTACAGAAGACAGGCTTCGCTCCACTGGGGCAGAGGAAGGTGTCGTTTGACACGACTTCAAAAGCTGGTGGCGTCAGTTCGGTCCATGGGGAAGTGAATGCTCTAGCATTACAAGTTATTGGATTACTTTTGAAGGTACATGGAAAGTAGGCTGCAAGCTGGTAATGTGTGAATAAAAATTGAAAAAGGGGGTGCTTTACTTGTCATGACCTCGCTGAAAATCGCATTCTGCTGTCATATTTTTTTGCTTTCAAGCTGCTGCAATCAAATTTTACGTGAAATAATTTGGGATATGCAACATAATGAATGCAGAATGATTTTAGAAACAAAAGGGACTCACGTTTTGTAGACATGGCACCTGGCGTGCTTTAGTTTGGTGGCAATCTCGGATCATGATGCATTCCTCAATGCATGCGTAATTTGCATTGTCGCAATTTGGGCAACTTGACAGGAAGTCCTGCATTGCAAATCTCTAAGAGACAGCGGAACTAGACGTTGATCAGGCAGACAGACTTGCTGATGAGTACGCGAGTGAACGACTGACATGCACCTCAAGACAAACATTGGCTCAAGGAAACCAGCCTCTGTTCCTGGTCAACAACCAAAGGCGAGTAATTTGTTTCCGCAGTCAAGGGCGAAGAGGAACGCCTGTACCCTCACACTGGCCAAAAAAAAAAGACTATGAGAGAGTGTCAAAAAGTACTTGAATATGGTCAGCTGAACAATTACAAATTAGAAAAACCGTTAGAGGAAATACATACACACCGCTGACTATCACCTTGCTGCCTTTACTACTTCGTCTTCCTTTTTTTATTCCTTTACTACAGCTAGTGATGACAGCCATCCGCCATGTCCGCGCGATGCCCCTATCAGGGTGTTATGTGGCTCGTGCCACGTCCCAAGTATTGTTTTTCTTTCGGGTGGATTGTGATAGACGGGGTGCTCACGCACAGTTGAGCACTCTCTTCGATGGCCAGAGCTTCAATTAGTTCACGTGCATATGCGTTCCGGTGCCGCCCTATAAAGGCCCGTTCACACATGCAGCGGAGCGCTACACGCATAGCGCTAACCTCGCGCTAAGCGCGTGCTGACGGCAGCGTTCACCATGCTTTGTATCGCACCGTCAAAACTGTTGCTCATGGCATACGATAAGTACACTCTAAGAAAAAAGTTGGCCTCAAGGGACTAACGGCAGCATTTGGTCCTCTGAACTCCCAGTTGCTCCACGAAAGGACCATCTGGCTCAAGCTAGGTACCGTGCGCAAAAGCTGGGGACTAACTGCGCTCGACTGGGACCAACCGATAGGCGTGCGCGAGCAAAAGCATCCATTAGTCCCCCTCAGACAGGGTGCATCTGTATGATTTAGTCCCCGAAGGCAAACGGAATGTTCGTGAGGAGGACGGATGCTATTTCGCTTGTCTTGGGGATCGGCGAGACTCAGCCCAGCACGGCTGGAAGTGTTGACAAAACTCGGACGAAACTGGCAAATTTGTTTAATGTGCAAGGAACGTTCAGACATTGCATGGTAGAGCTTCACGCGTTGTGTGAAAGCGAGTGAAGGAATGTGTTGACTCGACTTCTTCCAACTATCTCCTCGAAAATGATCTGTTGACATTCCAGAAGTCCCATTTACGTAATTTGCCTTCGCGCAAAAATGTGCATTTATCCAAACGCAACACCTCCAAATACTAACACTTTTTTTCTTTTAAAAATGAAACTTAACAGTTTGTAGAAGCCACGCTTTTAACACCGGAGTCTCGCAATCAGAATAAATGGTCACTTCAATCGATAAAACTGAGCATTCCCACCGGCGATATAAGCAGTCACGCGATGCCACTGGATCGCATCGCAAAAAAAAATTAGATGGTCACACGGGCGTGTGCGATAAGCGAGTCCAACGCCTTCGTTGGCGAGTCGTTTGTCGAAAACTCTCGCTCCGAACGCCGTTGATTTGCTCAGCCGCTCCGCGACTAGATCGCATCGCAAAAAAGTCGAGTCGAGAAGCGACTGCTCCAATCGCGTCGCTTTTTGCCCGCGATGGTCGCTTTTGCGATGAAAGTTATCGCGCGGCTAGATCGCATCGCCGGTGGGAACGCGGCTCCGTCTCTGTGTGACAAACCTTTCTGGGTAGTCCAATGTCGAACTAAAATCCGCAACGACACACTTGATGCACGGCACGTTCCACTTAAAGAGCACATTCAGGGGCAGTATCCAGACGCCTTCATGCCATCGTCGTCGCTGTTTCCAAAATAATCCAGATGAACAACGAAGAACGAACCACGCCCGGAACGTCACACCTGGCAGCACCCTACTAATACAAAACAAATGCAAAATAAAGAAGAAAAAAAAAGCCACCCGAGAAAGTTGAAAATGCTTAAGAGAGAGAAAGAGAAAAGAAAGAAAAAAAACGTGTTTGCTTGAGGTCACTCGACCGGCGTGTTGAAAGTGGCGACCGTCTCCCGTCCTTGGAGCTCTTCGGTGTCCTTGTGTCGTGCGCAGTGGGAGTGGGAAAAGAGATTATCTTCTGCGCGCACTGCCCCCTCCCCCCAATCCCCTACCCCACATTCTTTGCTCCTTGTACACGCGGGGGGTTGGGCGTTGGTCAGATGGGGTCCGTCGGGAAAACGGGAAGTGTCTTTGTTTGAAAAGAACCTGTTTTTAGCATGTTGAAAGTCGAAATACAGCCTTCGTCGGAGGCTGGTCGCCTTGTGTCGTCTCCGATCATGCCGGGATCGGGTTTGGATTCGCGGTACTGAAGCACTGCACTTGATCTGTTCTGACGTCGCAAGCCAAGGGAACTCGATTAAGGTATGTCGAAGTGCTTCTGTTTATGGTCTATTTATTAACTGTGGCTTCAGAAAGTGTTTTCTTTTGAGCGCGTTCTCTAGCTTGCAAAGCGCGCGCCATGCTCTATTCTTTTTGGCACCACGGTTGCTGATTTTGTTATGCAGCACAGAGACCTCATATTCTATCGTATCGAGCGAAACGCCAGTTCTACCGATGGCTTATTTTTGTGTGTCTGTGTGTTTCGCAGACCCTGGCAGGATCGCTTGACCATAAACGCCTGTCCACATGCAGCGGAGCGCTACAGGCATAACGCTGACCTTGCGCTAAGCTCGTGCTGACGGGATCGGTCAAAAGCTTTGTATCGCACCGACAAAACTCATGCTCACGGCAGACGAAAAGTAGCTCATGACACGTGAGCAGCGCTACATCGGCGCTTCGCTGCGTGTGAGAACCGGCATTAATGGAGACATTTATTCGATTGTACACTAGACTTTCGCGTTGATGGCGGGAGATCATGCCGTCACTTTGAAGCATAGTTTGATCACGAACGCGCTGGGTCTGTAATTCGCAGCGCACGGTCTACTAAAATCTAATATTGCGCTGGTCTGCTGTCAACAGACCGCAAGTTGGATGTGAACCATTGTATCACTTATGCAGCTTATTTGTTAATTTATTATGCGTGTGTTATAACTTATATCTCATATATTTGTCGAGCGATTGGGTATTTATGCTGCCCTGTTACTAATAATCCAAATTCCTCGCAAACAGGCAAGAAGCTGCCGGAGCCCCAATGAACGGTGCTGGGACCACGACCGACTGGGGCAGACGTCCCAGTGTCCAAGCCATCGTCGACGCAAGTGCGCTCTTCGGAATTTGGCCTTATCGTGGATTCTACCGCCCTGGAACTTTGACTTCATTCATCCTTGAATGCGATGTGTATCTACGAGGCAATAAAGCTACTTTTAGCCTGAACTCCACAATTTCGTTTCGGGAGATTTGTGGCACGGGACCAAATGAAAAGGATAAACCTTTAGTC